AAGCTATAGTTTATCATTTATGTAACCATTTATCATTTATGTAACCATAACTATTTCAAACACATTGGCTAGCAGCATCACGTTATTCTTACAATAAATGTCGTGATAACCAACGAAAGTCTTACAGCCAAAGATCATCCAAAGATTTTATACGTATTAAATTTTGATAACTCTTTCAGTCAGTTTTGAGTATAAAGTATTTTTAGGTGTTAAGTAAGCTTTATTAAATCTGTAAAAGCTAATGGCATAATTATAAGGATAATCATTTATCATAATGACATAAATATAAAGATAATCACCTTTATGACGGAGTTGTGTTGCTATCTGTAAATCCATTTGTTTATACCTGGTCATTAGTTTTAAGGTTCTTCGATAATTTATTAGGTGAGTTGTTCATAAGCTGTAAGTTATTGGTAAAAAAAAATTGGCCTACCCTAAAGGTCATATATATTTTTATTGTGTTCCGGATGACTTTTATCACTTCATCAGTTTTACTAAGAGCTTAAATGATGGGATGGCTATCATGACCTGATAGAATGTGAAAGACTACCGTGACCTTAATTTTGTTTGGGTAGATGCGTTTTGTAGGTTGCATTTGTTGTGAGCAGCACCTCGATATTTTCCCCTTTATATAAAAACAATCTTATGCTTTGTCATTACCAAAATTTTATTACAAATGCAACAATTGACAGCTTCTGTGAAATAGATCTGGTCGTCAATAGTCATAACCATTCTCTAAGGGTTTTTAAAAACTTTGTTTATTTCTTCTAATTCAATTTGAATGTTTTCCAGTCCTCTACCACAAGTGAAGTGCTCTAATGTAAGGCGTTTGCATTTGTTTGTAATATTTTATTAATTTTACATGGTATCATCTATTCCGGGTTATGGTGTCACTTTGCTATGGTTTTCTCCTATCCCAAGACATACCGCTAAGTAAGCCTACATTATTAGTGTAGTATAGCATTCTGGCCAGATTTTTAATCCATACTGTATGTGGCTTTTATAGACTTTCTTACATAAGAAAGTGGTCAACAACAATAGTTTCTTGTGTGCTGACAAAAATAGAATAAAGGCCTTTTTTTCTTGAAAAACGTTTACTGAGAGCTTACGATTTTGGTTTTCCAGCCATGAATTACCACTAACTTTTAACGGAAGTTCAATTACATTAATTTTATTGCGTCTAAATATTTTGGTACTTAATTCTACAATCTGCATAATCATGCTGTTTTAAAATAGCTCATTCTGCCTACAGGAGAATTTTTTGCAAAACCAAGAAACAGTTAATCACAGCAATCTAGATGCCTGCCCAAGCATTCATTAGCAAACTTTTTTATTTGTTCAATCATTTTAGAAAAAAAATTTTCTAACACTTTCTTGATGTCATTTTTATTAAAAGCAATATTGGAGTTAGACCTAAGATAAACGCTGTGCTTCAAGCTATTGTTAGATTCATCAATTTCATCACAAACGCGTTAGAGACAAGGTGTGTTTCTTTCCATTTATAGCAAGAATAATAGAAACTTTTAGTCCTAGCAAATCTTGGAGAGGGTATAGGTTTTTGAATATGATTTTGTTAAGGTTTTGTTCTAGAAATCGGTCTTGGTCTTTATTTAGACCTTGGTTCAATGCACTCTTGTAGCTCGCTCAGCTGTTAAAAGGCTGATCGGTGTTCTTGTTTTAAGATATTTTTTTCTTGTAGTACGTCATTAAGATCTGCAATTTTATAATTCACAGCGTCCATATCTTGGTATTATAACTGCTCTTGTTACCCTAAAAAAAGTTTGACAGTTGAGATTTCTATTATAGTGATAAGTTTTTTTTCTAATCGAAAATGAAAATTTTACTTTTTCAAATTTTAAGTTTTCCAAAAATTAAAACATAAATAAAAAAAATGATAGTACTTGAAAAATGTCATAAAATAGTTTTTGTAGGGTAACGTGGGGCAAAATGAGACACTTAAACACTAATTTATCTAATACAGGTTGTCTAAGAACTTTCAAAAAAAGAACTTGATATTTTTAGAATCTTTTACCATCCTACTATAACATTATAAATCATGAGTAGCAAAATTGCAGTGGTTTGGTCACCAGAGATCATTTCTTGACACCACCTATCCTGTCTCATTTTGCCCCGCTATGTGGAGAAAAATAAGACTGATTTTTTTATTAGGTAATTTAAATAAATAATGATAAACAAAACAAATTTTTAAGAGATTTAGCAAGATAAACATTTTATAATATAATACAGCTAATAATAATACATAATATATAATCTAACAAATAAAATACATAATTAAACTGTCACTAGTTAATATAATCAAACACACTTTCACTAGTCACATAAATCACACAATTTTTCACCAGTAATTTCAATTAACAACGGTCCGAATGAGTCCAAGTGGTTCATTTCAAACATTGACTTTACTTCAATACTTTTGCAGCCATACTCCATATTCTGTTACAAAAATAACATTCCTAGTTTTCTACACTTAAACTTTCTACTCTATTTTTACCCTTTTCTAATGTCCATCTATTTTCTAGTTTTTTTTTCTTTTAATTTGTTTTGATTTTTCAAAGAATTCAAATAGTGATTTTCTATAATGTGATGTTGTTATTATCTGTAATTGTTCTCTTTTTCTTGTTAATAAAGTGATCTTTGAAATTACTAAAATATTAGAAAAGCAGGGTATTACTATATTAAAATCAATATTTTCTGAATATACTGACATTAATAGTAACAAGGTTCTTTAAATAACTGTGAATCAACTTTGTCAGGTTTATGTAAGTTGGCATTAGAGCTTTTGTCATTAATAAATCTAATGTCTGGAGTTATATCCCGACATAAAAGATAAATTCCAGATGTACAAAAGCCAGAACAGGCAATTTTTACAGAGGCAGCTTCATGATAGGCTTTAGAGAATATTTCTCTGATCAGTTGACCATTTGTTATTTTCGTCCAAGATGCTCATGTAACTATAATCCACATTCTATTTTATAAAAAATTTTAGCGGATTCAAAACAACAGTTGTTGTTACACCTCGTTAACCATTAGTTGCAGAAGAAACAAAATGTTTTCCTTTTATAACTTTAACAGATTTACGAACAGTTGTTATGCCTGATTCATCACAGTTAAAAATTTGATGAGGTTTAAACTTGTTCTTTTTTATAACAACTCTTATATTATTGAAATTAATGTTCACAGAATTGCTGTTTAAACCATAAACACAATTTAAAAACAACCCTTAAAGCTTTCTGATTGAAAGGTCTGAATGTCTCTTTAAAAACCCAATTACAAAATCTCTTCCTGCAACACCATTACATTTGTTAAATTGATGAACTATTTTGTTCTTTTCAACATATTGGAAGATGATATAAACACTAACTTTGGATGTAAAATTTTTTTCCACTTCTTAACATAAAAATACTCTTCGAAAAATTAAAACTAGAACGCATTGAAATTCGTAATTGTCATATAGCCAAGAGATGAAGTGGTTGTCGTTCTTTTCATTTCCTTAATTTCAATATGACTAAATATATATTTATAATAACTGTATATATTTTTGTAATAACTGTAATATAACTGTAATAACTGTATATATTTTTGTAATAACTGAATGTATTTTTGTAACACTAAATAATTTAAGAACACAAATAAATTTAAAAAAAATCATTAAAACATTAAATTGCACGGCTAGGATCATTATAAATGCGATCTATCTCATTTTGCCCAGCTGTCTTATTTTGCCCGGTCTTACCCTACTTGTAGAAAATCCAGGTATGAATAGTTTTTTGTACCTGCAAAAAAATCCAGTAAGAAAAAGTTTTCAGCAGCCGTAAAATAGGGTGGCCCAAAATCCGTATTGTACATCTACTGCAGCAACTAAAAGTTCATTGAACCTATTATTAAAATTTAGGAGTAATAGAATAACTTTCTGGTTTTGTTCCCGAAAAAAATAAAAATTAACAACTAAAACGGAAAAAAGAGTTACATATTATTTTTTTTTTAAAAATACTTAAAAATTATTTTTGTTTCTAGATCTTTCATAAAACAGTAAATAATATTAAATCATTAAAGAACTTTTGCGTAAAGATAAATTCTAAAAAATATTTTGGCGAAAAAAAAGTTTTTCATTATTATTCTTAGTAATAGCAAACGAAATGCCAAGTGTTCAGGGAAGTTTTTTAAGACTTGAAAGTAAAATTGTATTCAGTGAAGAAAATTTAGCATTCTTTTAAAAAATAAAACGTATAAAGAAACAAAAGAACTGATTAGTAACACAAGCTTATGAAAGGTGATTATTGGGGAGGGAAATATCAAATTTTCAAAACCAAGAAAAAATGGTACATGCCGTATTGTTTGACATAACACCAGTTTGGGAATAAATGATATTGTTAAAAACATTATGGAGTCTTTCATACGTACGCAGTTTTGGGATATGGGTGTTTACCGTAAAATATACAAATGCGTGCAAAAAGGAGGGAGTGTTAAAGACAGCAAATATGTACAAATACAAATACAGCAAAATATGGTTTGACTATCTTTTTTTTTTATCTTTCCCTAAACTAGGTTTCTTTTTATTTAACATAAGAATAGAATTTTTAGTTTAAAAAATTCCCACTACGTTTTGTAATAAAAAATGGCAAATTTTCTAAAGGTGTCTTTGTTTTTAATGTTTTGAAAAAAAATGCCTTATTAAAAGAGGTTTAGTTTTGTAATAATTAATGCGTCCCTACATAGTGGAGGGTTTTTTTACAGGTGCTTGCAAGGGAGGATGGAGGGTCCTAAATCAGTGTTTTTTACAGTGCACGTACTTTAAGGATGCCCTCTAATAAAATTCGGAAATATTTTACTATTTAACTTGTAAAAGAGGCACAAGATATTTGGCCGTTTAACCGCTATCTACATAAACTAACTAAAAACTAAAAATAACGCGCCTTTTAACTGGTTAATGATTTCTTTTTTATTATTTTTGAGAGTGTTAATAAGAAAGACACGTAGGATAAAACGTACTTGTAATAAAACACTCAATTTTTGAAGATGCAATTTTAACCTTACAACACATAATAAAATACAAAATTTACTTCTCTCGAAAATTTTACTCCGTTAATCTTTATACCGTATCAAAACTGATGGCTTTTAAAAATGCAAAGATAAAAACAAAACTTAAATAAGTTTAAAAAAAATTTGAACAATTCACTTGTTCTATTTTTAAATTTTATTCTCAGTTTAACTAAAATTTTAATAAAGAAGCGTTTCTAGTTCGATGAAAGAGCAACTGACAAACATCTGACAACGTGAAACCCATGCATCGTCCTCGTGCACGCAAAATTTCTACTGCAAACTTCACAATATTTTTTTTAAAATTACGTTTCTGAGTTTCTAATTTTCTTTTTTTGCATGGTGGAATGTAACTAGATTCATCAATTTCTAAAGCATTGTTAAAAGAAAAATTTTGAAAAATTCCAAGAAAATTCGAGTACGCAACTTCCTCATCTTTATTTAACAAAAAAAGTCCACCAGCTAATACAGAAAGTTGAGCAATGAAAGAATCATCTAACAATTCAGTTTCCGAATAAGGAAGAACAAGAGAATTTTGATTAATTAGTATGTTTTGATTACGACGTAAACGAGGTGCAAACATATGTAATCTTACACCACAGTTTTTCTTGATTAAACGAAACATTGGAATTAGCTCATTTGCCTCATAAGAACTAATCAAAATATAGGTATTGTGGTCAGTATTATTCTTTGGAGAAACTACTATCACCCATGAAATCTCAAAAAGAAAATCATCACCTCTCTTACTATCTTCAATAACCATAGTAAACTCCTTTGAAACCATAAAGTTAGGACTCCAACCATTCATTGGAGTCAACTTTGAAATTCGATTCGTATTTTGAAAAATTTTATTTATGGGCAAAATCTCAACATGACTTCTATGATTTATATTACCAGTTTTGACTAAGTCAACAATTTCTTTTGACAAAACTGGTTTATGTGGCTTTTGACGAGAAGGACGTTTAACCTGACGTTCTTCTTCCAGCTCAGCTTCAAGCTCTCTTTCTTGCTCTTCGTTAAGGATACTTGCAAAACGTTTGTATTCAGATACATACTGACTGCAGCGAGAAATAATATTTTCTCCAATTGAGGTTATTGTTTCTTCAAAGGATTTGGTTGCTTCGTTATTGTCCTTAAAAAAGAAAATTCTTTCATTTAAACTATTCTCAACAATTTTAGGAACAGTGTCTAATGATCGAGTTCCTCCGTAAAAACTTTCCAGTTTTATTACTTCATTTTCAGAACACCTATTACCAAGTTCTTGGAGACTATCTATTTTTAAGATTCTTTTTCGTATTTTATTTTTAAATATAGAAAATTCAACAGCTTCTTTAGTAGCATATCGAAGTCCTTGAGAAGACCAGTGCAAAAAGCCGTCGCGAATAGCATTACAGCTGTTACTAATTGCCCATTTTAGGATATCAGAAGTTTCTGGAATTCTGTCCCAAGATATTTGATTTACAATAGATGTGTGGACGTCTCTTGAGGCGTAGAAATAAACGCTGTGTCCATTTCCCAGCATTCGCATACGCATACATGCTTGAACAAGGCGGTCTTTTGTAAGTCCTTCACCCAATGTTACACAAGCAGTTGCTGGAACAGGAAATTTTAAATCAGTTCCCCTAGTATGAATATCATCAAGGTATATAACACACTTATTGAGTTTGTGAAAGTATGGAGAAACAGAAAGTAAAGAGTTACGACCTTTTCTATCATAAACCATTATTCTATCTTCTTTGTCAAAATAAATTGCTGCAGACACATCAGATGCTAATGAAAGCTTGAGCCATACCTGGGCAACTTTTTCATTATCCATCTTCAACATTAGTGCACCTACATCAATTAAAACACAAGCTTTTGTTTCAACTAGCTTTTTTAAAATACATTCTTCTATAGTATTTAGACACGAATTATTGTGATAATAGGTTTTATTTTCTGGTTGAAGTAAAAAGCTTAAAACCATAGCGTTTGTGCCTATAACTTTAGACAAATCATTTTGTCTAATGTTTAATGGAAAAAGCAGTTGTAATTCATTTGTGCCACTAAATCCAGAAGTATAGTTTTTATATTTCAATCCATGATCCTTTTTCAAACATAAATCCCAAGCCGATGTTGAAATCTTATGGGGAAACTGTTTTGCTTCTCGTGGATAAACCACTTGATTCAACCAAAAGTTTATGACACTCATACTGTAACTTAATAAAGAATATAGCTTTTTTTTTTGTTTAATACTGTCTAGATTAACGCCGTTTAGTTCGCGCAAATCTTTTGGTACATTGGCAATACCAATAGATGTAATCCATTGTTCATATTGAACTTCTTTGTTTGCGGACTTTTCTAAATTTATAAATACCTCATCAAGCTGGTTTTTACTAAGGCCACTCATATAATAACTAATTTGTGTCAAAATAATAGCCATATCAGGATGACCAAACTCAGTTCTTTCGGAAGCAACATCTTTAGCTCGATATGGTACAGCCATTTTTGAAAAAGGTTTTGAAAGACTAACGCCATAGTTAACTCTCCAACGTTTTTGAAGTGCCATATGTAAAACTTCAAAGAGAAGAAGTCCACGCAAAACTAACAACTTTTCTTTTAAAAAAGGATTCTTTTTAAAAAGTTTTGATAAACGTTTGTTACTCTCTAGATTACTGATGTCATTAGAGGTAATAAATAGTTTAGCAATCTCTTTATCACGTTGTTTCATATTTGCCGCTACTGAAACTTCCGGAACCTCATTATTAAGAATGGAGTCAACAATTAGACAGCATAAATATTCATACATATTCTTGTTGCTGTTAAGAAAACGAATATGTGAAAATGAGTCGTATCGAGTATCGTCTTTATAATATTCAATGTAGTTTTCTCCGTATATTTTGAATATATTTTCAATAAATTTATTAACTAACTTTAAAACAGCTTGAGAAATTATCCATCTTAGTTCACCACTATCAACAAGTAACTGTTCACCAATTGTGTAAATAACCTGATATTTAACGTTTAATATCTCATCTGCTTCATCCAAAATATCACGTACATGTTTCTGAATCCAGCAACGCAATCGGTAAAGCTTTTTTGCATCTCGAGATTTTTTAAGACAATGCTCCAATGTTTTTAAATTAAGGGACAAACGGTATTCAGGTGTTGTCAGCATTATTCCACGTCCAAAAAGACATTTTCGGTAAACTCTCAGTATCTTCGAAGGGTTCAAGTTTAAATCTCTGCTACAAGGAAGTATATAAACTCTTTTGTTAAGAAGTCCACCAAGTTTATCTGAAAGTAATTCAAAGTTTGTGTTCAAAAGGGGACGTAATACATTTACTCTAACAACGTGTTTTGACGTAGCTAAAGAAATTGCAAGTAAAGGTACAATAACACTGGTTTTTCCTTCTCCCATGTTTAATTGCTGAACAAAATTTTCATTTGCAGAAATAATGCTCTGAGCAACATCAATCTGAATGGGACGAATTAGGAAATTTGATTCAAGTTCAAAAAGAAGCCACTCAGGGTTTGAGGAAGGAATCCAATATTCATGACCTATGTTAATTATTTCTTGATAGAGAGCAGCATTTAAAGTTTTATTTTGAATTAGTTTAAGACATCGAATAGCTCTTTGTTCATTTGTCCAGGATACAATTAATGCACCAATGCGATTAATAACACTCTGTGGAACTTCATATTTAGCATTAATTCCAAGTAATGTGCATGCCAATGATTCTAATGGTAATATACATGGAATTATAGTAACTGGGGTAACCCTTCTCCATAATCCTCCGTATAAAAGAGCAAAGTCCAAATGGTTATCATTTTGAGGCATAAAGGCATCTTCTACTTCTTTCCACAAACTCTTTGATTTACTGTTAGATAAACAACTTCGACATTCATAAATTATTTTATTATTTTCAAAGTTTTTTTTATTTAAATGTGAAAGTTTGTTTTCCTGGATGTTTGTGCAACTGCTTGTTAAATTAGTTTGCATAAAATTTGATATATCATCATAATAATTATATTGATCCGTCAGAGTTTCAACAAAAGACATTACTTTATCAGATTGATTTTTTCGATTTAAGGTATCACAATTGGTTTTAATATAGAACATTGGTGCAGATGATTTATTTTGAAACAAACTAATTGCATCCTGGTTTTCTTCGAGATTTTTAATCGGAATTTTGATTTCGTACGCTTTTGAAGAAGATTGATAAGTGCGTTTTGTATCCGATAACGGAGGAAAGTAAATTTGATTAAATAATTTTGCATTATTATTTTTATAATGCAAGTTATTTGAACGGATTTTACATTCTACTTCATTTAAAAATAATTTGAGTTCATTATTGTTTTTCCATCTTAAAAATAAATTCTTGACTTTTTCTTCAATTTTATCAATATTAACAACATCGTTTAATGACATTGTTAATTGATTTACGGCAAACATAGTTGTGTGATTATTATTGGTATTGGATAATATAGACTCACCAATTGAAAAAAAATCTACTTTTTTTGTTTCCCATTGTTTTTGAGCTGCGTTTTCTAACATTATAACTGCATTTTGTTTGAAATTATTATAACTTTTTTCGTCCTCTAAACACTTACTTTTAAGATTGATGTCATTGAATTCTTCTTTAATTACGTTGCGTATTTTTTTTAAATCAAACTCTGTTTCGTTAAGGTACTCGTAATTTCTTACAGACGGAGGATATACTTGAATTTGAAATAAAACTACTGCTAAAAGACTAAACAACAAGTCTTTATTTTTGCCTTTAAAAGCTAACAAAGATAACAAAAAACAAAAATCAAAACCATTGTCATGAATATTTTGAGCCAATTCATATAACTGTAAATAATTGTCTAGAATATCAAACTCTTCAAGTGCATACACGGAAGATAATGAAAATACTTGTGGCTTTTTTATACTTTTTTTAACTTCAACAATGGCCCATAAGCCAGAAGGATCATAACTAATGCCATTTCGTTTATAATAATCTTCCATTAGTAAACGTGAAACATTATTCTCCGGACAATCATTAATATCAGACCACGCTTTTTCTCTTTTTGGAACTCCGCCAATGAGTTTCTCGTTTTCAACATCTAAATGTGCGCAAGAGTTTAATTGTGTTTTATAACGCCAGTATGCTCTTTTCGTAAAGATGTTTTCATGTTGCTTTGTTTTTTTTTCAATTGTTGAAAACAGTTTTTCATACATATCAGAATGATAAAGTAAAATATTCGATGCTAAAGCCACACCCTCGTAGCCATAAGTTGAGTAAAGTTTTGGAAACCAAGCGACAGTTTGCAATTGTTGCGAATACACATCTTTTTTTATGCGTTTCGGAGCAAGTTTTGAAATACTATTTAGAGTATGTATTGCGCTTTGATCAAACGGTCTGCATGAAAATGTACGTCCAATCTGCAACAAACGCATTGAAGATTCTGTTCCTGTTAACTTTGTAAATGGATCTGGAAGCGAACTCGAGGTCGCAGCATGAAGAAGTGAGAGATAAAGCCAAGCTTCATGATTTGCTGGGCCACGGAGTTCACATAGCCGGTTGTCAATGTTGTAAGAAAAATAAGGTGGAGAAAGTAACTTATTTAGATTAATTCTTACATTTTGATGATTGGTGGACTCTATTAGCTCAACAGTTGCTGAATGCGGAATGACTAACACTTTTTGTTGACCAAGATAATTTCTATCTACTATTGGCTTATCCTCATGCAGCAAAAGACTGTTTTCTAGTCCAATAAGTGTTCCAATATTACCTTGATGATTGGCTACAATTAAACCCACGTGTTCATGAGAAAATAACTTACCCGTATTTACTTCAACTTTAAAACTTAAATCCATTCGAGGTAATTCTACGTTAAGTGCAACGTTTTGCATTTTTTTTGTTTGAAACTGTTCTTTTTCTACTTGCATGTTTTCTTGTTCTGTAAAAAATTGTTCTTGATCTGTTTGCATATTTTCCGGTTTTTCTTTTTTTGTTTCTAAATATTTTTTTTCTGTTTGATACTGCTCTTTATCATTTTGTGTTTGTCCAAATTTTTTTCTTTTTTGTTCTTCAAGTTCCTTTAGCTGTTGTTCACTTTTTTGAAAATTTTCTTGTATATTATTTTTATGATAACTTACCCATAAATGTACATATTCTCTAAGTTCAAGGCGATTTAAGCAACTATAAACTTCCTTGAAAGTGTTGCTATTAATATCAACTAAGTATCGCTTCCTTTGTAAATCGTATAAAGTTTTATTTTCTACATTAAAATGATATGGGAAGTGCTCTTCAGATTTAGCGTTAAAAAAATTATCGTCATCAAATCTGACGGGTCGAAAATAAATGATGTTAGTGTTTTTACACAACCAGTGACTGTATTTATTAATAAAATGGTTTGGGAAAAGTCCGTTAAACACGTCAGAAGGAATCAGTTCGTACTCGTTACCTGATCTGGACCGTTCCACAACTACTTGTCCATGTGTTCGATTAGAAAATAAAAACCTCGAGCCTTGAAAATTGTGAACACTTATAAATGTAGAAAATTGTTCAGCAGATGGTTGCACATCAAAAACATGCTCACCAAAAATTCTTTGATAAACAGATGATTTAGTAATGGTATCTGGAAGGCGCCCGACAGGATTTCCATCAACAAGAAACTTGCCACTCAAAACATTAACTTGTAATGTTACTGATAAGTTATCGGAAACAAATGTGTTATAATACCATGTTTGAGATGGTGGTGAGTGAGATACCCAAACATTACTGCAACTACCTTTGCAAAAATCTGCCCAATGAATTGAAAGAAATTTATTAAATATATATGTACTTTCTAAAGTGTTTTCAAACGTGTTCCTAACAATATTTTCAAAACGCAACCCTATTTGTCTGACTCTTCGAAGCAAATTATTTCTCTCTGTATCAAAACAATTGTTACCTAAACAAACATTATCGTGAATTCGAGCTACTGATTGTAGCCAATAAACTAGCGATTCTTTATTAATTATATTTTCATGGCATCTATCAACGTCAAAAGTAAGCGCTATAAATGCAGCAACATCGATTAGCTTTAAACGCGTTTCTTGGATTTCATGTAAATTTGCTGACGTCAATTTAGAAAGTAAATGTTCAATTTCATCAGCCCATTTTTGAGCAATTGAACGGCATCGTAATAAAAGCTCAGATGCTTCAAAACGAATTTCAGCACTTGACAAAGAAAAAATTCTTAGAGTAATTATAATAACTATATGGAGTTGATTGTGTTTCTTCCAGTTTTTTTTAATGATTTCTAAAAAATTAGATAAAGTTTCTATCAGCACATGACAAAATCCATCATTTTTAAGATCAGAGTGACTTTCAAAATATAAAACAGGATCATGAATATTATCTGATAGTATCCTATTATCTTTGTTAAATGCAGGCCCTGCTTGCCATAGTGCTTGTGCAATTAAAGCAAATACAGTTGGGCTTTCAAAACTTAATGAACGCATTTCAATTGCTTTAAGCAACTTTCTAAGTTGTAAACGGTGACCTGCTCGTAATGAACCAAATGCTTTATATTCATCGAGTTTAAGATTCAAAGGACACTTTATTTGAGAAGCTAAAACTTCGTTTTCTGTATGAGTTGTTCCTTCAATCCATGTCTCATCAATTTCATAAGATTTGTTCCAAACTTTCATTGTGTAAAAATTTTTATTTATTTGTTCATAATCAACAATCTTACATTCAACGTCTTCATTTTTGTACTTTATAAAAAGTTTAATAGAAAGTCCACAAGGTACAAGAACATCTGAACAAGAATTTATTAGTCGGAGTCTAAAGCGGGACGACGATATCAATGCAGCATTACTTCCAATAGAAACTAAAGATTTTAGGCATTCTGAACTGACCCATGAACCCAACTGCGGATGTGACTTCCATTGCTGTTCAATAAAAACCTTTTGAAATTGTTTTTCATCTAAATTATTATGAACCAAAACCAGAGCATCACGAAGACATCGTATACTGACTGGTATAGACAGTTCAAAAACTATAGCATTTTGTTTCCAATCGCAATTTTCAGGAATCGGGTCTTCATATCTTTCAATTGTCATATAATAAGCTTTTTTATATGTTTCACATTCACAGCATCTTTTATTAGCTTTACAAAAATGATAATGACTTCTTATCGGATACTTTGCTATCAAATTGTTGTAACAATCAAAACTTTGTTGAAACTCTATTATTTTTTTTTCACGTTGTTTCTCAGCATACATAAGAATATCTTTTCGTATTTGTTGCATTGTTTCATTTTTATTAGCTAGCCTTGGTCCAAATGAATTCTCATTTAAGTTGTTTGATATGATGCTTGGATAATTAGCCAATGTATTTCTTTTTGAAAAATAGCCTTTAACAGAATGTAAATACTTCATATCTTCAAGTAATGGTGTTAGTAAGCTATCAAAGTACTTATCTTCAAAACTACTATGATATTCAGCCAGTAAAGGAAATTTTTTTAAAGCAATTGAATCTAATGCGGCAGTTATTAGAAGTAGTGTTAAAACCATTTGGCTTAATCCAACTGGATCATTAGCGTACAAGACTAAACTTATTTCAAGATATTTATAAAACAAATCAAACAACTGGGAACTGTTTTCAAGAAACTCTGTGATATTTAGCAAAAAATCTTTCCACAACACTGTTCTTACCCAAACTTCAAAATCATAAAGTTTTATTTCTGTTTCGTTGTTTTGATTGGAGTTTTCAAGAAAGCTAATATCAAATAGAAAATTTACATTTCCAGACCAAGTATTGCGGCTCGTACATTTTGAATTTTTTATATCCACTTTTGAGTTGCTTTCTTGTTTAAATGCTTGCTCTATCCGAGTAATTGTCAAACTATTTAAGTTATGAATTATATGTTCACAAGGGCGAAGCTCAAATATTTTAACCATTGCAAACTTGGAACAACTTTTTTTGTGGTTAATCCAGCGATTGTCTGCCTCATGTCTCCTTTTTAGCAAAATATCGCATCCATTTTTAAATACAATATTTGTCCATGTAATTGTTTGATTAGATAATTTCATGTTTTGGTTGGAACTATCAATATAGTTTTTCAACTTTGTCATTCTTCTACTTACCTTGCTTAACATCTGCATGATAATATCAGTATCTTTATAAGTGTCTGGAAGATCTTCAAGAAAACTAGTCATGATATAAATCATCAAAGACTTGTAAACAACTGTTCCTTCATTTTTTCCAAGCTCTATCACAAGCATTATTTGAAGAACACATTTAATTGCAAACCACTCTCCAGAACGGCGCCATGGATTTTCAGATCCTTTTCCGTATAAAACCTCGTGACGTATTACTTTGTGAACACGCTCAAAACTTTCCTCTCCTTGTATTGCTCCAGACATTGCTCCCAACAACCAAGAAATAACAAACACGGGTTCGGCAACATCAAAATAGTCAGGATATTTAACACCAGCTTTTAAAGCTGTTGTCAATGTATTTTCGTACACTTTGTTGCACAATATAGCAACTTGCCTTGAAAACGCATCAGATAACAACCGATCAAATGGAATTGAAACTGCTCGTTCTGGAAATGTTTGAAACAAATCTCCTTCAATTAAAACCTTTTCATTACTTGGTAAAGCTCTGAACACACTCATAAGAGCATTATTGTCATTAGATAATCTAACAGTAATTACAGAATTATGAGCTCGAACATATATAGCAAATGTTTGACCGGGCTCCAAAGCAACAAGTGAGTCCCTAATTTGAACTTCACTTACTGAGCTACATTGTATACTTTTCCAAATTTTCATTGTCTTTCGAACGGAATTTAGACCCGGCATTGGCGTTTTATTGTTAGGTAAATAACTATAGACAAGTTTTAATAACGTTCCAGAACTGTTTTCCTCTTCTTCTCTGTAGGGCAGTTGTCGAGTGAGAAATACATGATGAATGAACAACTCCATTTGGTTATTTTTTTCAATATGGAAACTTTTTCCCTCCATTAACAAGATTTTCTAAAAACCCATATATATATGTATACTAAACAGTATTATCGCAAATAAACGTAATATTTTTAATCAATAAGCATTATTTTATTTAAAATAGTAAATAAGACTAATGTCTTAGAGTAACATTAACTTTTTCAATTAACTTCTTTTTTTTTATTCTGATTGGTTTACCATTACAGGAATTTTTATGATAAACTTGCCATGATCAGTTGAAATTGGGACAATATTATTCAATTGAGATTTCTCAAAAACCACTTAATCAACTGTTTTGATTTTTTTTTATAGTGATGCTAAGATAGTTTTCTTGTATGTGAGTGTAGTGTGAGTGTTTGTTTCTCATTAGTATTTTTAGTTTTGAGTAAAGTGTCAGAAGATTGAAAAAAAAAATTAAACTTTATATAGAAAATCCAATGTTCTCATACTCAATGATTTCAAAAACATGTAAAGATCCAAAATCAATAGTTGCAATTATTATAAAATGTTATAAGGAAAAAAAAACTGAAAAATAAAATTAATAAGTGGTGGAAAATTAAGAATTGTAGCTATAAAGAAGACAAAATCAATAGTTGACTCAGTTCATCAAAATCCGACTCAGTCAACAAGAATCAGTTATGAAGTTTAAATGCAATAAAGTTATCGTTCAAAGAGTATTCAAAAAGAAAATCTGAAAAATTATTACAACCAAAAAGGTTGCTTGATGGAGAAATCAAGGCACTTGGATTAGCTAAAAATTTGCTATCTTATTAACAAAAAAAAACTTATGCGTTTTAGAAGAAAATGAATCGAGTGATTTTAGAAGAAAATGAATCGAGTGATCTTTTTCCTAACAGTAAAAAGATCACTCGATGCTTTCAGATAATCAATACTAATATCAGTCAAAACTCTGTAAAGCCTCTGACAAATTTAAGTAAGAAACTCGCTTTTGAGTTCCTTTTATGGCAGACACTTGCCTTTGAAGTTTTAAAAGCTCTCCACTAATGACAAATCAATCTTTGACACCAGATCCATATGTGAGTGAATGCTTAAAAAAAAATTTCTTCCTTTAATTAAAAAGCACAAATAAACGACTTTTTCCTTTAACTAAAAAGCATAAATAATCAACCTTATTTAGGCTAGATCTGGCATCGATCCACTATTCCAAAAAAGTAACTCAGTGGTTTAAGAAAAAAAAAGTCAATTTTGTTCCAAAGAATGCTAATCCACCAAACTCTCCTGAGCAGCGAGTTATCGAATCTTACTGGGCAATTGTGAAGAGAATATTCAGGAATAGAGGCAAATATAAAAAGTGTAAATTTTTTGAGATTTATGGATTAATGCTACTAAAAAACTGATGCAAACTAAAATTGTAGAGACAATGGCGGGTACATCACAAAAATTAAATTACTTGCACGTTAATTCTATATTTATTTTTATTGAAATAAAAATTAGCTATGTCAGCATCATTATAAAAAGAAAATTACTGCAATTAATTAAGTTGTCTATGAAGAAACTTAATTTAAAATTGTTCAAATTTCAACGGATCATAATGAAGATTAGATTGTTTTTCTCATTACATTCTCGTGTACTACCTTTATATTTACTCTTCAAACACGGCCCATTATTATCCACCTTGTGTAAGTGATTAAATACAAACTAATAATTAAAAATAGGTTCTAAATGTTTTGTTTTTGTACAATTTTTTTCTTTTTTTTTTTTATGCTTTTTGATCATTTTTTTTACGCTTCTATGAATTGTTTTTTAATTTTCTAATCTATTCAAATTCTCAGTTGTTTTTTAAAAACCTCATTCAAAAGAGTTTGAAAAAGATTAAAAACTTAACAAATATTTTTATTGTTACAAATTATGCAAATGGAAAACTAGTAATAATGATGATAAAACAACAATAACAATATTAATAATAATAACAATAATAACAACAATATTAACATGTATGTATGATTGTATGTATGTATAAAATAAATTATGACTAAATGGCAATATTGTTACGCCTTCTTTCAAAAATTTATTTTTTGGAAACCAAAATTATATTCAAAGAGTGTTGGGAAAGGAAGCATCCAAAATTATGTAGACAAAATATATAAGTGGGTTACCCAAAAGTGTACAAGGAACTGTACAATTTTGGGTAACTAATTTAAAACTAAAAGTTTTAATTTAGTTTGTTTATAATGTTTTTCAAAAAAAAAAGCTCTTATATTTATGCAACTATCCTTATAAATGACATTCAATGTATCATAAGTTTTGCAGTTGTAAAAATAAATTTCTTTCTTTTGTTAACTTACTTATGAAGAAATGTGGAAAGACAGAGGTCAATGTTAGTTTCTAATTTGAATTGACTATATATATTTTTATTTTAATAAATATTTAATGATGTCATTACATTAAAAAATACCAGTAATTAGATAAACTGAATGCTGTGATCTGATTGCTTAGATATTCTAGTTAAAAACGCTGATAGAATACCTTTCTGCAAATTTTTTACGACTAAATAACTGAACACCAGAGCTAAGTAAAACTTTTACAACTACGTTCAATAAATTTGTCTATTTCAACCTTTCATCAAAACTTCTTTCTTGTTGATTATTAGACTCTTTCTTGTTGATTATGTTGACTCTTTTTACAATTTATCACTCTAGTGATTCAATCAACCGACAAAGTCGTCTACTGATTCATAAAGTTTTTAAAACGACTTTCTTTTGTTTATATTTATGACGTTGTTCTTTACATTTAAACAATCAATAAACGTATCCACTATAAAAAAAAATTCTTTATTTCTAGCTGCTTCTTGTAACAGTTGAGTTAGATGATTCTGATGGCATACTAAACAAAGGTCTGTATCAGATCCAACTGTCTCTAGTAAAAAAAAATACTGTGAAAAAAATATTACTTCTTAAAGCGCAGCAACCACATACTACACAACTTTCACTAGATATATCAAGAAAAAGCAATTTCAATGAAAACACAAAAATAACGTGGGAATATAACAGGCAAACGTTAAAAACAACAAATTTTCTATGCAGGTTCAGACGTCCGGAAACAAGAAAAAACAGTATGAAAAAGTTTAAATAAAGCGCTTTTGTTCACTTCCAAACTATATTTTTCAAATAACTACGGTTTTACTTTATTTACTTTATTTTAATGTTTTGTTGTTATTTTGTTACTGTTATGATTATACACTTATACTTAATTATTATTATAATGTATTAGAACCATTGAGTTTACATCTGTAATTTTTTAAAACTTACTATTATCTTAAAATAATTTTTACAAACTTTTCATCTAACTTCAGATTTTTCACATTCTATAGCCATTTTATGGCAGACCTTTCTGATTAGCATTGTTTTACCTGGCTATATAAGAATATGCCATTTGGGTTAAAGTTAAACTAAACTCTATCAGAATAGAATACCAACTTACTATATATAGTAATGTCAATGTATCTTGAAACTAAATCAAATTTAAGAGATACTATTACAGATCCTTATAATTTCAACGGTTCAACTAATTGTAAATACTATGACACTATAAATATCATTAAAAAATTTGATTAGATTTGCGCGTGGAAAAGTTCTTTTAAAACTTTTGATAAAAGTACTAATGTAATAAAAGTGAAAATATTATATGATTTTTTTGCTATGAAATATGTCTAATTTTACAAAAATATATAAGAATTTGCATTATACTTATATATTGTACACAATGTAAAAGTCTTTATACATTGTGTACAATACTTTGCATATTTAATATAAAAATGATGGATTAGAGATGAATATTTAAATCATTTAAAGATGTTTTATATAAACGTAAAATTTACAATCAAAGTCTTATTATAATAATGAAACTACCCAACAGGCATTTTTTGTTTTAAATTAGGTTTAGATCACGTTTAGATAGTATTTATGTCGATCTAAACGTTTAGGAATCTATTCTGAACGTGTTCTGAATATTTAATTTGCGTTGAAAAGCTTAATCAAACAATTACCGTACGTAACTAACTTAATTAAATTAGTTTCGCACAGAATGAGTCGGACATTTTGAATCTTTCATTATGATTAAAAATTAGAATTTCTTATGAATCTTAAATTATGTAATAAATGGTTTAGAAAATATAAAAATTGTTTTAAGTATTATATTGTGGCTAATGAAGCGGCTAAAAAGTCCTGTAAGTTCTTCGATAATATTATATAAGCCATTAAAAGTTATTTTAGGTACAGTAACAATGTATTTTGATAATTCTTTTTTTTAGTTATTGCTACTAAATTAACAGTTTTAAAAAAGTAGCAGTAGTTTCAAAAAAGTTTCAGCATTTTTTTAAGCTATTTCTTAAATTGTTTTTTCTGTTCGGTTTTTAACAACGCTATAGAACGTCTATAGTTAACTCTTAGCTTCCTAATTTTTCTACTTTTACTAAAGTAAAAAAAAATGAAAAATAGTTACCACTTAAAATGCAGAAATTTTCTCTAAAAGTTTTACAGAAATTTTATGCATTTTATGTGGTAACTACTCTTTAAATAAATAAATAAAATTATTATTGTTAGTTTATATTAAAACGTAACATCTATTTGTTTATGATAGATGTTATTTTGATCGAATAGCAATTTATAATATTTATACTTTTAGTGCAGTCAGTGCCAATCAAAAATTTTGAGGCTCAAATATTTACATAATGGATCTTCAATTTTAGTGTAGGCTTTTATTATTTTATAAGTATTATTCATACTCGTATGTGATAACCACTTTAGAGAAAATAAATTTACTTACCTCTGATATGATTTGTAGAAAATTTAAAACAGTTTAAACAATAATATATATAGCTATATTACATAATTTTTTTAAATCCGCGCAATTATTTTTTTTATTGTTAATTAAGTTTTGCGTGTTTAACTTCATTTAATATGTTATATACAGTCCAGTCAGTTGAATCAACAATTAAACCAACAAGAAACAGGCAAGTATTCATACAAGTGGTAAATTGATTTTTGTGACGTTTTTACTCCTTTAAAAATTAGATTTTCCTAACATAATAATTAAATTAATGAATATTTCTGTAAAGATTATTCTGTAACTAAAAAGTGTAATTATTTTAAAACTAATAGTTACTTTTTTAGTAATCACGAGATAAATTGCAAACTCTATTCTTTTAGATATGATTGTAACAGTTGAACATTTGTCAGATATTTAACTTTTAAATCATAATCTAATTGCTCAGGCTTATGAAAAGCTATTTATAAAATGTCAACGCATAAAAAGTAATGAAAAAGATTAAAGGTAATTCCTGTTTTATTTGAAAGGTACGCAATAAATGTTATGTGTTGATGTACCTTCAACAAAACTAGTGTTAACATTTCAGCAAAATGTCATACCGATATTTTACTGAGTTGTTATTTTAGTTTGTGATATTATAATTTTTATTCACAAAATGTTAAATAATTTACTTTTTAAAATTATTTATCATTTTTGTCAGCTTTGGATAAGATGTTTTGTTATTCCTTTTACAGATTGTTATGAGGATTGCAAAAGTTTAAAATAACAGAAACTGAATTGATAATCAGCAGATAACAAAAAGCGCAAAAGTACTGATTATACAAGTCTTTTAAAGGTTTCATTTTAATTTGTTAAAGTTTATATAGAAACTAATAATATATAAACTGAAAATAATATCATATAATTAATCCATAATTTTGCATTATTCGAATCTAAATTAATATTTTTTTCAATTTCTTTTGGGTTAATATTACTAGTTTAATGCAATTACAGTAGAAATGGTTAATTAGGAAAAAATTGCACAAAAAATTGAATAAATCGCTAGTTAAAGCAAATAATATTATATATATATGTATATATATATATATATATATATATATATATATATATATATATATATATATATATATATATATATATATATATATATATATATATATATATATATATATATATATATGTATATATATATATATATATATATATATATATATATATATATATATATATATATATATATATATATATATATATATATATATATATATATATATATATATATATATATATATATATATATATATATGTATATATATATATATATATATATATATATATATATATATATATATATATATATATATATATATATATATATATATATATATATATATATATATATATATATATATGTATACATATAAATGTATACATATATATGTATACATATATATATATATATATATATATATATATATATATATATATATATATATATATATATATATATATATATATATATATATATATATATATATATATATATATATATTATAAATTTAAAAATAATAGTTTTATTTAGGTTGTTCTAATTTATATGTATAAAAAAAGAAGCAAGTTTTAATAAGTAAATGATTAATCATTTTTACGGTATAGCAAAATAGTTTTTATTTTTAAGTTTACATTTTAGTTAAACCATCACCACTTCCACAGCCACTTCAAGCGTTCAATTGCATTCTAAGATATCTTTATTCAAATCAAGTGTGACTGCTTTACCAAAAGACTGTAGAATGGACCAATTAAGTAAGATGTCTAAATTTATATATGAGGTATTCCATGAGAAAGTGGGACAGGTATGTAACCCACCATCTCAGATTTTGTTCATACTTTGTAAAAATGGTCATCTATATAACATAGACTTCCTTGCAAAATTTTAGCACTGATATCAAAGGGGTTTTGGAGTTATTGTTACTTTAAAATCAGCTATTTTTAGCAGTTTTTTCTGTTCGGCGGCCATTTTGATTTTACTATAGTTTTTGTTTTACAAGTTACTGTTTAACTAAACATGTAATTAAGCTGAAAATGAGCCCAGTTATAGTTTTTAGGACGAGGAATCAGAATATAATGATTGTTTTTAATGAGAATATTTAGAACTATATCAATATGGCGATTGTACTTTACCTACAGATATTTTTGAAATTTTAACAAAGGCAAAAAGGAGGTCTGGTAACCATGGTAGCATTATTTTTTTGTGATTTTTTTTTTGGTTTTATTAAAATAGATATTCTAATGAGTATTTTGATGAAAAGTTTAGAGGTAGGTTTTTTGAAATTTTTTGTAAAAATATAGGAGTATTATGTGAAAAAGTAAGTATTATAGCTCTGTGTTCACGATTTTATTTTAAATTAATTGACATTTACAATTTATATTAGTTATCAAAAATATTAAACAAAAGAAATATTTTAACCTATTATTTAAAGAAACTTTAACTCAAATGAATATTTCTTTTTGAAATAAATTTTTGCTTTCTAATTAATGACATATTATGTCATCTTTGACTAAAACAGAAGAAAAACTCAATATTTAAAACCCTAAGCTTTGTCTGATTAGTCTGATGTTTTACCAGCTGTTGTTTGTTCTCCATAGCAATATGTACAATACTATATATTGTACATATTTAAAACTACTAACTATAAATGGTAAATATTTTTTCCATTTTTAATAAATGTATTAAAATGTATTAAATATGTCTGTGTATTTTGTGTTTATTTATAGCGTAATTAAAAATTGAAAAAAATAAAATGAACAAGATTTTATGTACAGTTGGTATTTTATCAAATGATCAATGTCATAAAATGGTGTACACTAAATCATTTGGATTGAAAGATTTATCAAGCTATTCAGAGAATGATAGAAATTTATTATTATGGAGATCTGGGCTATCAATATTAAACGTTAATGTTAAAATCTGTTTACATCATGAACAAATTTTACTCAACCGGTTTGCTAACTCCCAAAAAAATTGCATCGACCCATTTAAAAAGCATAAAACTAATATAAATGGTAAATTTTTATGTTTTTGCTGTCTTTTTACAAAAATTACATCTAGTACACTTTCAATTAGTTTAAAAAATTTTAATTTTATCCTTTTATTCCTAACATTATATTATCTTTTTTTTGTTCTTTATTACAATATTTAATACAATATTTACAAATATATAATAAGAAAAAATTACATGCAAAAAAATCGTTACAAAAAAATAAAGAATCAAGATAAAGAACGCGGATACTCAAAGAAGACCATACAGGTCTTGTCACCGAGAACCGCTGTTGAAGAACTTTGATCTTAGTTTAGATTTTAGGAAAAACAAAAATAAATAAACACAAGTTTTTAACTTTTTTAAGTTATGGTCTTTATGGCTGGAATTAAAGTACTAATTCTTCTGAACCGGATGATTCAAGCAAAAACAATAATATCATAGTATTCTTAATAAATAAATACGTCTCGCATCTGACTCGATCACTGATTCTTGTTACTCAAATCTATCAGTTACACTGATCATAGTTGTTAATTAATTAATAAATAAACGAAAATAATAAGAATATGATTGCACTAGGTACATCCAAATGCACTTCAAGATTGTCCAAAAGATTTTTATTTTTTGTTTTTTTTGTTTTTTTTTAATAATAATAATAATATATATATATATATATATATATATATATATATATATATATATATATATATATATATATATATATATATATATATATATATATATATATATATATATGTATATATATATATATATATATATATATATATATATATATATATATATATATATATATATATATATATATATATATATATATATATATATATATATATATATGTATATATATATATATATATATATATATATATATATATGTATATATATATATATTTTTTTTTCATTACAAAATTAAATTCAATATTAAAAGTATATACCGTTCGTAATACAAATTATTTACAAAATTACGAAATAAAATAAAAATTAAAGTAAACAAGTAAATAATAAATGCCTACTGTACAAATAATGTCAGTGGAACTTTTAACAAAATTCAAATAATGATGTTTAACTACAGTTTCTGACATAAACTTTAAATCAATATTGTATAAAAGTAAAATATAAATGAGTGTTGACAAAACTGGGTAAAATTAAAAGTATATAAATATATTTTCAATTGAGAATATTACTTTTTTTAGTTTTCGTTTGAACATATAATAATTCCATTCATGAGAAAAATCAAAATTTTTTAAAATTATTTGGTTCCATAAAGAAACTCCACGAAAAGAAATGCAAAATTTACCAAAGTTTGTTTGAAATTTTGATTGTTTAATAAAGTTATCATTTCTTAAAGAATATTTGTTTTTTTCTTTTAAAGAATATAAATCAAAAAAGGAAGCTGGAGAAGAGTTGGTTTTACATTTAAACATAAAACAAAGAACATTATAAACATTTACTTGATATATATTAAAAACATTCATGTTAAATAAAAGTGACCTTGAGTGAGTAAAACGATTTTTGAAATTCATAATACGTGCAATATGTTTCTGCTGACAATAAAGTGGCTTTAATTTACTTTTATGGGTACTACCCCATGCAATAATAGCATAATTAATATGACAGTGTATGAAAGAGTAATATAGTTGAGTTAGTGAATGTTTGTTTAAAACGCTTCTTGCTTTATATAAAACTCCAATGCTTTTTGCAATTTTGTTGCATAAATGTCCGATGTGATTCTTCCATGATAGATTTTCATCAACAATGATACCTAGAAAATTTGTGAAAACTTCTCTTTTTATTTGAATATTATCAATATGAAGAAGAGGCATATTACTTGGAAGTAAATGTTTTTTAAATCGTGGATGAAAGAAAATCCATTTAGTTTTATCAATGTTGAGTGAAAGTTTATTTAACTTAAACCAGTCAGATATTTTTATTAGTTCAATGTTCATATCATAAAAAAGTTTGTCGATGTTATTATTTGATAGGAATAGGTTTGTATCATCAGCAAACATTATAGTTGTTAATTTTGAGACTTCATGGAGATCGTTAACATAAATTAGAAATAATAAGGGCCCTAGTATAGATCCCTGTTTAACTCTACAGGTTATATTTAGATAATCTATATTTAAATAATCTTGTGAAGAAGATCCGTCGATATAGACTAATTGTTTGCGATGTTTTAAATAGCTTTTTAGTAGTTTTAAAGCATTACCGATGATACCATAATGTTCAAGTTTTTTAAACAGTATTTCATGGTCAATTGTGTCGAAAGTTTTAGATAAGTCTATAAAGGCGCCTAAAGTGAACTCTGACTTTTCGAAAGAATCAGTTATACTACGAGTAAGATGAACTATTGCATGTTCAGTAGAGTTATTTCTTTTAAAACCATATTGGTTTATGTAAAGTATATTATTAATATCAAAATTAGATATTTGATTAAACAAAATTCTTTCTAAAATTTTTGTAAAAACAGAGAGGATAGATATTGGTTGATAATTACTGACATTAGACGGTTCACCTCCTTTAAATACAGGCGTTATTTTGGCTATTTTCAATTGATCGGGGAAAATTCCTTGATTAATAGAACATTTAAAAACTTTATAAAAAAATATGTTTTATGGTATCGTATGAATCTATGACTATATTACAATTTATATCATCAGGACCAACTGCTTTATTAGTTTTAAGCATTTTAAAAGCACTTTCAAATTCTGAAGAAGATACTTCAAATTTATTTAAACTAGAGATTAATGGAAACACGTAATCATTTATTGGATTAATCATATTTGGAATATTTTTAGCTAAGTTTGGGCCAACAGACACGAAATATTTATTTAATTCTCTTGCAATTTGTTTGGGTTCATATAAAAATATACCATCAACTTTTATAGTGTTAGGTATAGAGCATAATTTTAATTTACTATTTCCAGTAATTTGACTTATAATTTGCCATGTGCGTTTTGAATTATGTTTATATTTTTCTAGTAAATCATAGTAATATCTTTTTTTAAATTTTTTTTCTTTGTCTTTCAAACATTTTAGCATAATTTTTATAAATAATTTTATTTTCTAGTGTTGGTGTTTTTAAGTACTTTATATACAGTTTTTGCTTTATTTTTGAGGATTTTCTAAGATCTTTATTGACCCATGGTGACTTTAAACTTTTATTTGTTTTAATAAACTCACGTTTTGGAAAATTTACATCATATATTTCATACAAAGTTTGAAAGAATGTATCGTATGTCTAAATTAGTATTTCCAAATTTTGGCGCATTTTATTCATTTATAAAATTTTTATAGGTGGTTTGCAAGAAATTGATATTCAACCGGCAAAATATATGTGTTCAATTGGTATTAAAACAACACTTGGTTTTATGTGTCCTTCATGTCGAAAAGAAGTGGTAAAAAAAAGTAGATAATTGGTCTACCTTACAGGACCACAATGGTGAACATTTTTTGATGAAGATATAGAAATGGCACAAGAAAAAAAACTTATAAACACCAGTTTTAATAAATTAGATGTATCGCCAATAAAATTTTATGGGGTTCCACAACATGCTAAAATTTCTCTAGGAAAAAAAAAATTAATGCAAGCTACTGATGTTATGTCAAAAAAGCTATCAGTTATCCTCAATGTTAACGCAGCAGACCTGAAAAATGATGTTACTGGGGAGCCCAATATTGAAAATCAGAAGAAAGCTGAAGATCTAGATAAATTGATACTTTCAATGCAAGAAAAGCTGAAAACAGCAAATAGAAGAGAAAAGATTCAGATTTTAATATTGGTTCCAGATTCATGGTCTTCAAGAAAAGCAGCTGAAGTATTTAATATATGAAAATCAACCATAACTAAAGCAAGAAAACTTAAATTTAAAAAAGGAATATTAACACTTCCAGAAAAAACTAACATTGTTAGAATTAAATCAGATATCATTAATAAGGTGGTAGGCTTCTATTGTAATGATCAGTTTAGTAGGCAGTTGCCAGGTATAAAAGATTTTGTAAGTGTATCCAAAAATAAACATG